AAAGGGATGAATTTACAATTTTTCGTAATATAATCAAATCGTAGTTAAATTTATTTCATAGATCAGTTAATTTCTCATTTTATTTACAGGTTTCTTAGAACATACACTAACCTATAATCCTAATGACAATGAAATGAGATACCAATAAAATAAACTGTCTACAAAATAACTAATCAGTAAATATATAAGATTAAAGTTAGTGAATTTGATTATCTGTAAAATTTGTGAATCAATTACTAAATGGCAATGAAAAACTATTGCTATTTTATCCTTAATCTGCTTTAGATTTTATAAATTTTTTATGAATTTTCTACTAATTTATATTATTTCTAATTTTACAATAGTTCATTTTATAAGATTAAAAAAGCTATAAAATCATGAGCGAAAAACTCATAAAATTAACAACACATTTTACCGTAAAAAAAAAAATCCAAAATTTGAAATTCTTTGTTCACTTTCAAAAACATTTAAATTAATACTTTTGGTTTTTAATATTAACAAAATGAAATTCTCAATTACTTTCTTATTTGCCATCGTCTTTTTGTTCCTTTATGCTCATGCTGCTGTAATCGTGTCAAGGGGGCTAAAACCAAAAGTTGCAGTCCAACTTCAAGCCGAAATTCCAGATGGATCTGTTAAGCTTAAATGGAACAAGGATGAAAAGAAGATCAGTCCTAATTGTATGTACAATGCTTTTTATTATTGTTAATGCGCAATATAAGGTTGTATCTATGTGATGATGGTATAAATCTTTGGTGTAAGAAATTAGAGTGTGCTTTCTTAGCAACCAAAGCATATAAAATCATAGGCAATCCTTTAATTAGAAGGCAAGAATCCTAACTTTATAATAATGTATATAGCACAGTGTAATATAATCATAATCCAATGGCAAAAATTCCCCAATATGACTGTTAAGATTTGTATTGCGCTGTCAGCAATGCTCCTTATTGAATTACTAAAATCGATTTAGATTATTTATATTTAAATTTATTTTATTTATTTGTTCATTTTTTAGCAAATGCTACTATAGGTTTCAGAATTTTAGATTGTGATAATGAAGGATGTGGGCTTCCAATTTTAGTAAATCAAGTAAGTTTAATCTTCTAACTTTTTTCGGATAATTTAACATAATAATATATAATACTGTACATTTTTGTTCAAATTTTTTCAAAAAAATAGGTAGTAAAATTTGGAGATGGTGAATTTACTCTTACAAAGAAACTGGACTTAATCAAAATTCACATTGCCGCAATCCGTGGTAATACTATTAATGGTGAAGCATATGGCAGCATTACTCCTATTATTGCTAATAAAACTGGAAAACCTGAGGCATAATCCTTAATTCTATAATGCGCGCTAAATTATTATTATTAAATAACTTTTTTATTAGATGGGATTTAGCATAGAGTTACTGTCATTAGGTTTTTTAAACATTTAATAATAATATGTCAATTTTTCATATTTACAATCAAATAAACAAATTTAGTATTTAGTATTTTACTAGCATTACAAGTGTCACTGCATACCATATTTTGCATAATTATAAAATACTATTATAATGATAAATATAATGTATATAATTGGGTATGTTTAGTTGGTTAGTTAATATAACTAATAAGTTGCTGCACGAAATTGTCGTACACTCTCATAATAAAAATTTATTGTCCATAATTAAGCAACGTAAAATATACTTTAAATTGATTTCAAATGATTAATGAATAAGTATCTCCATTAATTAAAAAAGCGGTGCTTATTTTCAGAGTTTTATGGTATATATAGTTCTTGGATTTAGATATTTAAATAGATATCGAATACACAGTTATGAACCGAGTAACGATTGGTTAACTGACCCAACGTAACTGTGCACAATCAAATTAACCGGAATTTGTTTCGGTTGGTTCGATTGAACAGAGTTACAGCTGTTTTCATTAATTTTGGGACATCTGGTAAAAAATTGACCGAATGATTATTTGACCGATTCGCTAAGTTTTTGATTTCGGTAATGA